GAAGTTTCTGGAAGTGTTGCTGGAAAATAGGGTAAACACCAGACTGTGGAGGGTCGACCCTCTTATGTCTGTGTGTTATTGCTGGAAGATAGGGTAGACACCAGACTGGGAGAGGGTTGACTCTCCTATGTCTGTGTGTTGGTTGCTGGGTGATAAGGTAGACACCAGACTGAGAGAGGGTCGACCCCTATGTCTGTGTGTTGGTTGCTGGAAGATAGGGTCGACCCCCTCCTGTCTAAGGGTCGACCCCTGCATATTTTTTTTTCCCAGATTTTTGGGGTTTAAATGGGCCCTACCCTTGGGGGGGTTTTTTGGCCTATTATTTTATTTGATCTTGGGGCTATTTGCTACCAGTATAAATAGACCAAAACTACTTTCCTCTCATTACTTTTTCTCCTCTTTTTCCCTCAACCCGTGATTTCTCTCATCTCTCTCTAAAACTTAACTTTTCGCACTTAGATCTTTAGATCTACTTACCTAGAGCCATCTTTTCACCTTGGTCCTTTGGGAAAGGTTGTAGATTTTGTCAAGGGCTTTCTATTGATCTAAGTGGTTCGTGGTTTCGTCGCCGATGATTTTTTGTTTGTTTTTTCTTCGCTTCAAGAGGTAGGGATTTCTTTGCTCCTTTTCAATACTTCGTTTATAGATATACATGTGATAGATTTTATTGCATAAAAACCATATTCATTATGGATTTTCTTGAAAGTCATGAAAGGGGATCTAGGATTTGATATTTGTGATTGGAGTTGTTAAGTTGTTTGTTGTTGGGTTATTTGGGAAATGATTTATTATGTTTGTGAAGAGATGGAGAAAAGCCCCAGTTTAATATTATTGATATAATGGATTTAAAAGGGAGGAAGTTGAATAATCCTTATATATTTTGCTAATATGGGTTGTATGATTGTGTTTATATCAAAATAAAATAAAATGAAAAGTAACCACGGTGTTGGTTTTGTTTTAGACTAATCACGTGAAGTTGAGTTGGGTTATGGTTTTGATACCAATGGAATTGGTTTTGTAAAATAAAGAGGATGGGTTTGGTTTTGATTTTGTAAAATGACGAGAATCTTAGAAAATGGTTGGAGTTGTGTGGATTGGAAAAATAAAGAAAAGTGGTCTTTTTGAAAGAAAATGAAATCATCACCCTTTGTAAACGAATAATGAACTTGAGGTCAGATCTTGGAACCTTTACACATTACCATTGTTATTGGACTGAAAGTCTTGCGAGAATTGGATTTTTGTTTTCCTTTCATATTAGATGCAGAAATGGATAGATATGAATGTAAATGGTAGAGTTGGTTATTTGTAATTTCTCACCTATGAAAATATGGATAGTTTATCTATTTTGAAGATTGTATATATGTTTAGAAATATATGTTTTGGGCTATCGGTGAAGGATAGCTTTGACTATTGTAGAAATTGCATGTGGACTAAGTGAATTAAAACTAATCCTTCATTGGTTGTCGTTGAATATGATTGTGTTTATATACATGGTGTATGTTTTACACTTGTGTTATTATGCATTCTTGTATGTTGAGATGGTTGGGAATGTGCTTGCTCTTCGAATGAAATGTACTAATACCTTCCAGCTAGCGCTTGGGGAACTTGGCAGTGCTTAGAATGAGAGGTACTAGTACCTTCCAGCTAGCTCTTGGAGAACTTGGCAGAGGTACCATTACCTTCCAGCCAGTGTCTGATAAATTAGGATTTTAGTATGGAAAGGTGTATCCTTGACTTGACATTTTGTTATGGAAAAGTGTATCATTGACTTACCGTGCTTAAGGCAAGTAGAGCAGAATTCATTTATCATTATTGTCTCAGTGTATCTGGGTATATCATGGGTTATAATGGTTATTGTTCTAAAAGGCCGTGTTGCCTCAATTGTTGAAGCATATAGTTATTGATTGCTTGTTGTTTTCCTTTTGTATTAAAGGCATACTTGAATAGTTATGCATGTGTTGGAAACGAACGTAAGTATTGTGCTGTGATGGTGAAAAACGTGAAAGACTTTGAATACTTGTGTGAACATGTTTTGAAAAGGCAAATCAGGTACAAGTCTGGGAAGTGAGAAAAAAACGTAATGGGCTTGGTGAAATTGTTTTCTTCAAAAATTCATCATAGTCATATGAATTTTAGAAAAAGATAACAAGAAGAAAGAAAAGTGAATTGCTTATGTTATTGAATGAAATGAACGACTTTGAGAAAAGTTCTTATATACATATATTTATGTATAAACCGTTACATTATTCATACAGTATGAGACTAAGCATTTATGATCATAGCTATTTGTAAGTTGCTATTGTTTAGGATCATGTTGAGATCTCTACTGGACTTTATGTTCATCCCACGTTGCTAATCCTTTTTCAGGTGAACATCGAGAAGTGTTTCAAGGTCATGGATCTTCTTTACCTGTTGGCCACGAGGCCTTTTATTTGTGGGCGGAATGTCATTGATGTAAAAGGGTTAAACTCTTTCCTTTACTTTTAAAGATATAAGCCTACAGGCAATTTATTTAGTTATGCTCATGTTATATTTAATTTGCATTCGGATGAGAGAATCTTTATTTATTCTTACTCGTTGACCCAAAGAGTTTTCTGCATGTTATCTCTAAAATTGAATTAAATTAATGAATCTAGTAATGGTTCCAAGAAATAAAAAAGTGGGTCGTTACAAATCATCTTCTATGGGATGAGCAATCAAGCAGGTTAGGACAAGCCATGGGGATGAGTTGAACGAGTTGGGTTATAGTAGGATTTTTTGCCTACAAGCCATTTGATGAACCCGAGGAGCACTCATTTATATTTGAGTTACATACACAGAGACCCTTTAAATTATTAGAAAATATCATTTTGACTATTTGAATTATAAAAACGTATAAATTGACCTCTTAAACTATTGAGAAGTATTACTTTACCCCCTAAATTATAAAAGCATACAAATTTACTCCTTAAACTATTAATATTTTTTACTTTGACCCTTCCATTAGGGGGTTCAATTCGTACATTTTTATAGTTTAAGGGCCCATTTGTACGCTTTTATAGGTCAAATTGATATTTCTCAGTAGTTTAGGTAATCTTCGTATAAATAACCCTTTATATTACTAACACAAATCTATATAATAAAACTTGATGGTTTTCGAAATTGTCTAAGAGATACAATTAGTTAGAATAGTGTAGATTGACCTAATTAAAAATTGAACAACTAAGATCGCTTGATTCGAAATAAACTTGCCACCTAAACAATTGTTAACTTTTATTTTACACAATCTTATATCAGGAAAAGAAGAAAAAAGTGAATTATTTCACTTATATAAAGTGAACCTTATGTTTTCATTTAATATTATAGTGTTGTACATATTTCAATTGAAGACAGTTTAAATTTTAATTTGCCAAAAAATGAACCTCATTATTTTTTTATAAAAATTTAAAGTGAACCTTATTATTTTTTTTTTATAAAAAATATCCTTCAATTTGGTAAAAATTTTGAAATCTCTAACATTTTTGCCCCTAAATAGCTCCTTTTTGACTAAGGGATTGTTTGGAATGTCCTAAATAAGTATACTTTTTGACTTTTTGGACTAAAAAGTTGAGGAAAAAAATATGATTGTTTGGGTTAACTTTTTAACTTTTTATGAAAAAATATGTATTAAAAAATTGTATAAATTATTGTGTAGAGGAAAATTAAAATTGAGAGTTATACAGCCGTACTTTTTGACTTTTGATGAATAGTGATAACTTTTTAACTTATTGAGTAATTTTTTAACTTTTTGACTTTTTTTCAACTTGCCAAACTTGACATAATAATAATGTAACTTTGTATGTATCAACTTTTAATTTGCCACATTCAATCATAAAAGGCCCAAATCCCCTTCCCCATCATTGTAAATAAATTTAAGAATCTAAATTATAAGTTTCTAGTGGGAAACCATGTTCAAAAAATGTCCACGGTTCAAAATCTTTGGTGCAATTTATTAAAGCTGTTTATAATTTATTGTACTTATTTTACGAGTCAAATAATAGAAACGTGCATATAGTTATTTTTTTCAATTATCAGCTTTCATTTTGAAAAAATTTGCACCAAATAAGACCTAGAAACAAGGCTGGAACTGAATATATCACCCCCCAAAACATGAAATTTGGATCCTGAGTAGTCCACAGCTTTACAATACAATTTGTAATGTTTTAAATAAAATAGCAAGTTAAAACGACATTATTTTGACTATTTTTTACTAAAAATCCGAATTTTCCCCTTTATTTTTAATCGCAATCCTTGATTGCTTACTCTTAAGATTAAAAACAAAAAAAACAAAAAAACAAAAAAAAAAACAAAACAAAACAAAAAATTTGATCTACACCCTTGATTCCTTTTCTTTTTTTTTTGACATAGAGCAACAGATTACACTACAGATGATCTGAATTTAGAAACATGGGGTGGGGGTGATTCAATTCAAGAACCTCCCGTCCCAAGCAAATAATGAGCGGCTAAAAAAAAACTTAAAACCCTGCAATGGCAAAAATTATTACATAGTTCGGAACACTTCGTAACTGTATGTCTGGTTAATGATGTTTCATGATTTTTTGAACCATGCAAACGTATAGCCCCTGTTATTGGACAAGTACACAACTAATATGTTATTGGCTGGGCACAACCAATGTGATATTTCAAGGAAGAACATGAGGATTCCAAATCTAAGGTAGAACTAGCAGAATTAGCATACACACCACACCAACTACAAAGTTAATGTACACCTCAACATGGGTTCGAGACCAAATGGTTGGCCTACTAGAGAGTTTGAATCTAGTTGGCCTACATGATGTCAAAGTTCAAATCTCATTGATGCGACTTCCCCTTTCCAGCTCCCCTCCCAATTGTAAAAAATGAGGGTTAAATCATATGGAGAAGCATATAAAGCTTTTGATGACTATTTGTGTTGGATTCAGCAATCCCTGCCCCAATCTTCCCAGAAAAGTGGAAACATAAAAATACAAAAGCAAGACAAATGAAAAGTCACTAAAATGTTGTTTATATATATATATATATATTCATACGAGCCAGGGTTACATGTTGGGTTAACTCATGACCCAACCTAAATTTGAACTAGAGACATTTTTAGGTCCACTAACATAAAAGAAAGGAGTCAACCAATTGAAAAGACTATAAAATCTAGATGAACTGTGTGTTTCGGAAGATAGCTAAAACTGTCGAGACACTCCAGAAATATTGTGTGATATCTAAGTAATAATCTCTCGAGGTAATCTCATGCAAAGTACAAAAGTAAAAAGAAAATGACCTCAGTGTACTGATTAAGACTTATCTGTACAAATAAACGCCAGAAGTAGTTTTAAAGAAAGCCTTCTATGTTCCAATCATCGCCAGACTGCCTTTGTGTAATAGCTTACCGCTCAGGTGCAAAAGCTGAGTTATCATCACCACTGGAGAAAGGAAGAAGATCAATGAGTGTGGATGGGGGTTCCGTAGTCAGAATTATAAGCTACATCTTCACGCTATTTGCAAGGGGGCAAAAAAGAAAAGGAGAAAAGAGAAGCACCAGATTAATATTGCAGAAACAGCAAAATCAAAGCCAAACAACAGTTTCAGAAAAGCCAAATACGCCTATGCTTTGTGAAATGTATACCTGTTCTGTTGGAGCTGGAGCAAAATCATGCATTTTCTTCGAAAGATCCCTCATGGCCCCCTGCAGAAGTCCATATTCTCAATATGAGATACATAAAACTCAGCACTCGAGTGTGAAAGCATATTAGAGTTCAAGTCTTGAAAAAGGCACATTGTTGGGCAGATTCACAAGTTATGCCAATTAAGAATATATACACTATGATATAACAAATTGATTAGTTAAGAACATCCTTGCCAACTGATTCAAGACGTTTGAGAAAGTGTTAAAGCATGTTAGGGTTCAAGATTTGCAGAAGTCATAACGTCAGGGCACATTCACAAGTAACGGCAAAAGAGAGTGTCTATATCGTGCAATAAACAAATTGATTAGTTAGGGACATCCTTGCCAACAGATTGAAGGCAAAAGATAAGCATACCCTTTCAGGAATTAAAAGTTGATCGTAGGTGAAAACGAGATGTCAGAATTTCTGGAAGATTACCTTTCCTCAAAAGAGTCTAGCTAATTCGAAAATTACTAAAACCATGCTATGCAATAGTAACCAGGAGCCCCCAATCCTTTCAAATGTGCAAATACGAAAGACCAAATGAATTTAGTAAATGCCTAGTGGCATCAGAAATTACATTCTGTGGCAGCCCATTTACTCGCAAAATCTTCTCCTGATATGGTTTCTCCATTCATCCCAATTGCCAACCCATTTCCTGCCCACAGTAGACCTTATTTATGCCTATCAAGCAAATAATCCTAATTTTTAGGCAGTGGCCTAAAACCAGACCTTGCATGCCAATGGTCTTTGCAAAAGCCACATGATATTATCGCATCTTTTAAAATGTAACTAGGACCTCCTCAACCACTTGGCAGCCAATCTTGCATCGCCCTTCTCTTAAAAAAAAAATCAGGTTGTGCTGCTAAAAGCGTAAACAAATGAATATGGGTTCCCTAAATCAAGGTCAATTCGAACTCCATGAACCAACTTAAATTGAGTAAGCCTAAGAAACCTAGACACGGACATGCCGACACAAAAATGTTCAAAAAATGTAAAACACGACACATGGGGGAAACATACAAAATATATTATTTTATATATTTATTACATGTCATACATACAAGGATAATAATTACCATGTCATATATATAAATATTTAAGCCAAAATAATAATTTTTGAAGCCTAAAGGAGAAAATTAGGTCTAAATTTAGATCTTGTTTTATCGTCGAATTCAAAGTTGTTTTATTTAAACTTGTAATGAGTTTCATGTGTCTAAGTCTTTAGAAGTGTCTGATGAGTGTCGTGTCGTGTTGTTATCTCAGACATAGTGTCGAACAACACATTATCTTATTAGAAGTTTCCATGCTTCTTAGAAAGCCTATTCTCATGGTTTACAGTCAGTCGTGTTAAACCAACTTCCTTCTTCGCAAACTCAGGCAAACCACCCCGCCTTGGAGTTCTTTCCTTCCCTTTTGCTTAAGAATTTTTATTTTTATTTTTTGAAAAAATACCTGCTCCACAAAGGTGCTCGAAAGGAAGCACTTATCACCTCAAAGCAATCTCCATTAATTATTATCAAACTTCACTAGACATGCTTAGAGCTTGAATTGCAAGGAAAGTAAAACGCAGGACCAAGGTAGCAGTGAGGTTTGCTTGCAAAAAATATTACATAGTACATAAGTAACCAAACCATTTTCGAAAACAAACACGAGTTGAATTGTTCCAAGTCTTGTGACTAGTCTATACTTGCTTGTGTGCGTCACATAGTAAAGCTAGTTTAAAAACTAGAATAAGAAAATGTTTATAAAGTATCATATCATGGTTAGTAGAGGCCGATCTTTGATCGGGCGAGCGGAGGTGCTCATTTTAGGACCTTCCTCTCTCGTACCTAAGTTTCCAAGCCGAGGCAACTTTGGTGTTGACGGACACGTGGCCTTTGGCACTAGTCAAGATTTCCTAAATTTTCCCAAAAATAAAATATTTTGGTGGTGACTCTGTATCTGGCAAAACAGACCAATTTTGGCATTATTTAATTTAAAATCGATTTTCCAAAAAGGTTTGCCAGACTTGGACTCTTTGGTGTTTATCAGTTTCACATCACACTTGTGAGACTAGATTCAGAACCGCGAGAGTCCGAATTGTGAGGCCTTTCTTTTCAAACCCTTTCCGAAAGGCGAGGCGCAGAAAAAGGCGAGTCCACATGTATATACAGAGCAAGAAGCCGCACTAGAGCATTTTAAGCAAAAAATGGGTGAAAACAACCGGAAAGTAGGAAAAGCCCAACACCCTGTGGGGGAGATTTGTGACGAGAAGATAATCCAAACGAAGCCGGACAAATGCTTGTCGGCTGCCGAAGGAATATGGTTGGATGATGACGACCTACACATGGCTTATATTGATGAGGATTGGGGTGAAGACCTTCCTAACAACACTTGGTATGTAGAAGAGGTTGACCCTATGATGAGAAGTAAAAGAATATTTCAAACCACCACATCTGGACCAACCCAAGGCATCCGAGAAGGATAAAGAAGTCGAGAAACAGAAGAAAAAACAGTTGGAAGAAGAGGCTGTGTTGAAACAGTTGAAGAAGATTCAAGCTGATATATCTATCTGGGGTCTACTTATGCCTTTGCGAGTGCATAGACAGGCTGTACTGTCAGTGATGGATAAAGCTAAGTTGTCCATCGACATTACCCCGGAACAACTGGTAGGATTAATCTTCCCGGGAGGCGTTGCGCCAACTCTAACCTTCTCGAACAAGGAACTATCGCCGGAAGGCTCTGCACACAACAAGCTTCTGTACATATCAATGGAGTGCAGAGAAAAATGGGTACCAGTAGTATTGGTCGACACCGGGTCAGCAATCAACATCCGTCCTCGTCGCACGGCTTATGCTATTGGCCTGAGACCACCAGATTTCATACATGTAGCCCAGGTGATCCGGGCGTATGACAATACCGGCAGAGAGGTAATGGGAACAGCACAGATCAGAGTACAAGTCAGCTCAGCTCAACAGGATATCGAGTTCCATATTCCGGCCACTTTCAACTTACTACTTGGGCGACCCTGGCTGAAAAATGAGGGTTAAATCATATGGAGAAGCATATAAAGCTTTTGATGACTATTTGTGTTGGATTCAGCAATCCCTGCCCCAATCTTCCCAGAAAAGTGGAAACATAAAAATACAAAAGCAAGACAAATGAAAAGTCACTAAAATGTTGTTTATATATATATATATATATATATATATTCATACGAGCCAGGGTTACATGTTGGGTTAACTCATGACCCAACCTAAATTTGAACTAGAGACATTTTTAGGTCCACTAGCATAAAAGAAAGGAGTCAACCAATTGAAAAGACTATAAAATCTAGATGAACTGTGTGTTTCGGAAGATAGCTAAAACTGTCGAGACACTCCAGAAATATTGTGTGATATCTAAGTAATAATCTCTCGAGGTAATCTCATGCAAAGTACAAAAGTAAAAAGAAAATGACCTCAGTGTACTGATTAAGACTTATCTGTACAAATAAACGCCAGAAGTAGTTTTAAAGAAAGCCTTCTATGTTCCAATCATCGCCAGACTGCCTTTGTGTAATAGCTTACCGCTCAGGTGCTAAAGCTGAGTTATCATCACCACTGGAGAAAGGAAGAAGATCAATGAGTGTGGATGGGGGTTCCGTAGTCAGAATTATAAGCTACATCTTCACGCTATTTGCAAGGGGGCAAAAAAGAAAAGGAGAAAAGAGAAGCACCAGATTAATATTGCAGAAACAGCAAAATCAAAGCCAAACAACAGTTTCAGAAAAGCCAAATACGCCTATGTTTTATGTATACCTGTTCTGTTGGAGCTGGAGCAAAATCATGCATTTTCTTCGAAAGATCCCTCATGGCCCCCTGCAGAAGTCCATATTCTCAATATGAGATACATAAAACTCAGCACTCGAGTGTGAAAGCATATTAGAGTTCAAGTCTTGAAAAAGGCACATTGTTGGGCAGATTCACAAGTTATGCCAATTAAGAATATATACACTATGATATAACAAATTGATTAGTTAAGAACATCCTTGCCAACTGATTCAAGACGTTTGAGAAAGTGTTAAAGCATGTTAGGGTTCAAGATTTGCAGAAGTCATAACGTCAGGGCACATTCACAAGTAACGGCAAAAGAGAGTGTCTATATCGTGCAATAAACAAATTGATTAGTTAGGGACATCCTTGCCAACAGATTGAAGGCAAAAGATAAGCATACCCTTTCAGGAATTAAAAGTTGATCGTAGGTGAAAACGAGATGTCAGAATTTCTGGAAGATTACCTTTCCTCAAAAGTGTCTAGCTAATTCGAAAATTACTAAAACCATGCTATGCAATAGTAACCAGGAGCCCCCAATCCTTTCAAATGTGCAAATACGAAAGACCAAATGAATTTAGTAAATGCCTAGTGGCATCAGAAATTACATTCTGTGGCAGCCCATTTACTCGCAAAATCTTCTCCTGATATGGTTTCTCCATTCATCCCAATTGCCAACCCATTTCCTGCCCACAGTAGACCTTATTTATGCCTACCAAGCAAATAATCCTAATTTTTAGGCAGTGGCCTAAAACCAGACCTTGCATGCCAATGGTCTTTGCAAAAGCCACATGATATTATCGCATCTTTTAAAATGTAACTAGGACCTCCTCAACCACTTGGCAGCCAATCTTGCATCGCCCTTCTCTTAAAAAAAAAATCAGGTTGTGCTGCTAAAAGCGTAAACAAATGAATATGGGTTCCCTAAATCAAGGTCAATTCGAACTCCATGAACCAACTTAAATTGAGTAAGCCTAAGAAACCTAGACACGGACATGCCGACACAAAAATGTTCAAAAAATGTAAAACACGACACATGGGGGAAACATACAAAATATATTATTTTATATATTTATTACATGTCATACATACAAGGATAATAATTACCATGTCATATATATAAATATTTAAGCCAAAATAATAATTTTTGAAGCCTAAAGGAGAAAATTAGGTCTAAATTTAGATCTTGTTTTATCGTCGAATTCAAAGTTGTTTTATTTAAACTTGTAATGAGTTTCATGTGTCTAAGTCTTTAGAAGTGTCTGATGAGTGTCGTGTCGTGTTGTTATCTCAGACACAGTGTCGAACAACACATTATCTTATTAGAAGTTTCCATGCTTCTTAGAAAGCCTATTCTCATGGTTTACAGTCAGTCGTGTTAAACCAACTTCCTTCTTCGCAAACTCAGGCAAACCACCCCGCCTTGGAGTTCTTTCCTTCCCTTTTGCTTAAGAATTTTTATTTTTATTTTTTGAAAAACTACCTGCTCCACAAAGGTGCTCGAAAGGAAGCACTTATCACCTCAAAGCAATCTCCATTAATTATTATCAAACTTCACTAGACATGCTTAGAGCTTGAATTGCAAGGAAAGTAAAACGCAGGACCAAGGTAGCAGTGAGGTTTGCTTGCAAAAAATATTACATAGTACATAAGTAACTGCTAATTGTTTTGGTGTTCACACTTCACAGTGATCTATTCATATAATGCCCCTTCTGTAACGTCATCTAATCTGCTCCATCCAACTCTATTCTCCAACTATTCAATGAATTCCCCAAAAACAAATCCTATGGTTTACACACAGGTTTTCCATGTGGATAAGAAAAGAACTTCTAAACTCCATCATATTGAACCAAGCAGGAGCATAAATTTCAAAGTGGCATGTCAGCAGTTCTAAACCATTAGTTTATGGTAAGTAGCCTCTAAAATAAATGCAACCTAGTAGGACCAACCTTCAACACATTGAACTCCGACGGGTCAACACAAAGAGTGGGTTCAAAAGCTTCAAGATGTTTTTCCCCTTTACGGGATGACTCATGAAAGAAAAAATGGCTCAAACACTTCAAAACTAAATAGACAACTCAAGATGCCAGAATGCCATAATCTTCTTCAGAGGCAGTGAAGGCATTAATTATGGACCTTACAACTCTCTGGTAAATGTCTCAAGACTCTCAACAGAACCAACAGACAGATTTTTCTCAAGCATAACATGACAAGCATTGTTGTGTTGACGTACGTGTAAAAACCAAGACTGAAGAGTGAAGAAAAAACTAAATGGTTTCTATATCACAAGTGGAGATACCAACCTTATTTGCCCAGAACAGCCCACATGCATTGCAAAGTGTCCTTGGACCATCTGGCCCCCGGCGCATCATTGGAGTGGACTTTGAACTAGTGCCACAATGAGTGCATCTAGCAATAATAAAAGAAATCAATCAAAAAGTTCCATTTAAGGAAGATGTGAAAACTGCAATACCAAGAAATTAGCCAACAAAAATGTCTGGTACTCAACAACCAAGGCAAAGGGGAAGAAATAAAACAATACATGCAAGATGTAAAATAAAATTAGCCCATTATAGGCCAATAAGTAGTAGTGCTTCAACAAAGAATAGAACTCTTCAAGGTTGCACAAAACTCACATAGTTTCTGGTGGGCTATCATCTTGTCCTGAATCCTCACCAGTATTGTAGCTAGCAGACTCCTCACACTTCTTGGCAGAAGTGAACTGGCCCTTCTTACGTTGCATCCTGATGCAGGCATATACACATACATCAGAAACAGAAAGGAATGATAACTCTTCCCCAGAACAGCAAGATGAAGAAAAAAGGAGACTTAAACTAGTATCAAACAATCATCAAAAGAAGACAGTCCAATACAGAATACATGATTTCTCAGTAAACTTTTTATACAACAGGGAATGTGGGAAACACACAAACAAGCACACGCACGAGAGAGAGAGAGAGAGTTACAGTGTCATATGATTCCTAAAAGATTGGTACAAATTCATTTGGAACATATAACTTTTTTTTTTCCTAGAATCAATTCAGCTAATAAAAGTAGATAAAATGATAGCAGAACATCTGATTCAATCTTTTCTTTTTCTTTTTTTTCTTCTCCTTTTGGTCTTTTATTCACTTTACAAGATAATGAACAACAGTAAAAACAAAATCCCTGATGTGGATGCCACTCACTCACATTGCAACAACCTGCGTCATGGTTTTACACGTCTGAGGTTGAAAATTACCCCCCAAACTCAATGCACAATGTATATAATAAGACAATAACGACATGGGAATGGGTTGTGGTAGCAACAAAAAATATATATTTTTATTTGATTTGAGCGAGCATATATATAGCCCTTGAAAAGCAAAATGGCAAAAAAGGGTTCATGTAGCTAAACCCCACTTGATTAGGAAACAATTGTTAGTTTGCTTTGGTTTGGTTAGGCACCAATTCCAGTGAATGTGCATGCTGAAAAATCAGCCCACTAGAATTCCAGCGCAAAATCACGAAACCTATTTTAGCCCAATTTTGCTTCATACATTGAATCCATAGATCATCCAATAAAAGAAAAAGTAAACATATTAACTAGCAAACAGCTTAGTCCACAAAATGTTCTCAGCAGCCAGATCACAGATAGTCACCGTGACAACAAATATCATCAGCCTTTTTGTTCTAGAATTATAGGCAAACACCATAGTTGTTAAAATCGAGATTTGAATCGCGAATCGAAATGGCCATGAATCGAATCGAATCATGAATAGTAAAGATTCAGTCACTTTTTCTAAATTACATAAAAAAAACATATTTATACACTTAGATATTATAAACATGAAATATTTAGACTTAAATTAATGAAAATGTTATTTTACATGATGATTGCGTGGTCTAAACAGGTAAGACGCTTCTATGGCAAGAGATGTGGGTCTGAGCCCCACCGTGATCTATGATCCTATATTATATTGTGCATTTATGATGTAATTTATGTAAATTCACATCACATCATATATGTATGGTAATTCACATTCATTATAATATGATTCTATGAATATATGATCACGAATAAGATTCACAACTTAACAAGTTCTAAACTTTTCAAAACTCTAATCTGTACTTGTAACTTGTGTCAAAAATACAAATTTAAAAATTCCAAAAAGCCTTCATTTCTTCATTAGTCAATCTTCATCATCTCCAAGGTCAATATCAGAGTCATCCTCTTCATCATCATCTGCCATAGTCACTTCATCAAACTCTTCTTCCTCTTCTTCTCCACCTTCAATCAATTCAATTTCATCATCTTCAAATATTTTTCTTTTTCCTCTATTGGCATTTAAATTTCTTGGTCCTACATTAATAAAAATAAATAAGGTTATGAATGACCAAGTAAAGGTGAAAATATAGAAACTAAGGTAGCGTTTGGTTGTGTTTAGAATTATGATTTGAGTGTGGAGTTGTATTTTGAGTTTGTGAGTTTTGAAATTATGACTTGAAAAGAAAAAAATTGTTTGGTTACGTGTTTTGAAAAGAGTTTTGAATTAAATGTTGAATTTTTTAAATGAGTGTTGAGTTTGTAAAAAGTTATTTGATTATGAGTTTTGAAAAGAATTTTCAAAACTTAATTCAAAAACTTATAACTCATAACCAAACACACAACTTAAAATTCCATTAAAAATTCTATTCAAAACTTATAACCAAACTCTTTTTAAAATTCAATTCAAAAAAATTGTTATTGAAAATAATTACTTTTTTATTTAAAAAATTTCAAAAATTCAGAAAATATTTTTTATTTAAAATATTAAAAAAAATATTATTATTTGTTAACAAAAATATTCAGCTAGTGCTTTAAAATTACTTTTGATTATATATTTGATTGGAAATTTTTTTCAATTGTTTTGTTTAAAAATATATATATTTTTTTTAGGTGCTTCTAGCCCACTCTTCCGACAAAACTCACATAGTTTCTGGTGGGCTATCATCTTGTCCTGAATCCTCACCAGTATTGTAGCTGGTGGCAAATCTAGTAACTGCAGCTCTTATCAACTCCCTATTCTTTGTAAATTTTCTGAACAAATCAAGCACCCAAGCATGCCTACAAATTTACACAGCGATTTCCTTGGCTTTAATTATTGTATCTTTGCAAACCGTCAACTCACCTATGTCACTTAACGTTAAGTCAAGGCATTGTGCTGTACATGGGGACCAAAACAATTTAGTCCTCTTCTCTTCCAATAATCTACTGGCACCCACATAGACCGATGCACTATCGGTTACCACTTAAATCACATTTTCTTCCCTAACTTCATTCACAATGTCATCAAGCATCTCAAATAATTTCATAGAATTTTTAATTGCACTAGAGGTGTTTACTGATTTAATAAACACTGTTCCACTTAGACTATTAACAAGGAAATTAGTAAGAGAGCGAGACTTTCTATCGGTCCATCCATCAGACATTATAGTGCAACCCGTCTTCTTCCATTCCTTCATATACACTTCTAAACTTGCATTCACATGATCAATCTCTTTTATCAAAAAAGATACTCACTTCATGATAACTAGGTTGTTTCAATCCCACACCAGACTCACCAATTGACTTCGACATCTTTTTAAACAAGGGACTTTTCACCAAATTAAATGTCAATGCATGCCCATAAATGACTCTACAAATATCTCTAATCATGGGCTCCCTTTGCTTTAGCATTTGATTTAAAGTTTGTTGCTTTGCCCTCCCCTCTGTGACATATGCATCCATAGTTCCCCCTTTACTTTTCCCCTCAACATTTTTTTCTTCAAAACAATCAACATTTATAACATTGTCTTGTTTTTTTCCATTTAACAGTTGTGAAAACATATTCATGATATCTTCAGAAACTTAACTACAAGCACCAACAATATCATGAGTTCTAGCCAAATGATTTTTTCATTCGAATCACCCCACCCTAGTAATCTTTTCCACAATAATTACATCTCAAATGCTTTTTATTGTCACCTTTGACACGGGTACAATGGTCCCATGTTGGATCTTGTGTCCCGTGTTTCTTTTTTCTTCTAATATTTTTCTTATCTGCCAAAGAAAGAAAAATATTGATTGAAGACCAAATAAAGCAAAATATTTTTCTAATATCCCAGTAGCTTCAATACCACAGTCCCCAATACACAACAATAAAGTAATGGAAAAGTTTAAAGTCAATATAGCATTTTATAATACCTATGAGGTTTGTCTGTAAGTATCTCAAAGTTGAAGACCCATGAAGACAAACTTTAATAAAGTTTTCTAAAAGTTGAAGACCAAGAAGAAGAACCACCGAAGCATATTCCTGCAGCAGAGGTGCCACCAAACAGTGATAGAGAGCTCTGTGTCGAACAGAGAGAAGGAGAAAACAATAGTTTTTCTAGGGTTGTCTTTTGGGAGTAAATAGAGACAATGGGTTAGGTTTGTTGGACTGTCGTTAGGTCTTAGAAGACCAGGCGACCTATCATCTAGCAAGAAAAAGCAAAAAAAATGAGCCAAAAATCAATTTTTCTTCATTCGAGTCTGAGAAACTTGGGTCAACCTGCGACAATCCTGAATCGTGCGATTCGTATGCGATTCTGGGCCATTTGCGATTCCATCAACCTATTCGAATTGATTTCCAGGTGTATCGAACAGAATCGTACGATTTGAATCACGAATCGTACGATTCTAACAACAAAGGTAAACACAAATAGCAACCTCAGATATATTCTAATATCAAATTTCACACTCTAAACATTATTTTTGGCCTAAAATCTATGGAAAGTCGAGTACATCAAGTCCAATCCAATCTATAGTGGATGTGAAGCTTTAGTCAGAGAACCAATCAAGGAACATGATCAATGGAATTGCTCTCTGCAGTTAAAAATAGTCGCAAAACATATCGTTGGGAAAACTATTCCTACCCAACAATCTACTTGGGAAACTAAAGAATAGAAAAGAAAAGGAAGGAGATTGGTATCATTCCTTATAGTGCTTTCTTCCCTCTTGTTTGGGTAAGATAAGAGTAGAGAAAAGAAAAGAGAAGAAAGTTTTATTATGTGAGCAAGAGCAGCTAAAAAGGAAATCAATTGTTTAAAAAATACGGGTAAATTGGGTACTTACTAACTTTTCCCTCCAATCTCTCTACCTTTAAACAAATTCAAAAAAGGCATACAGGGGTTTTAATTTCTCTCCATTTCTCTCTCCTCTTAAGCTACCAAACAAGGGGTTGTGCAAGAGAGAAGTCCTATTCTTTAAATTTTTTGCTTCGATCATGGTTCATGTGAAACTCAATACCAATCACTTGTTTCATAAAATGAGGCTTAATAGTTGTTTACTTCCATTCCACAATAGTGTGTAATGTGTAAGAGGAGTGATGAAAGCATTGAACATTTATTTTTGCGTTATCTTTTGGCTTTGGCATTATGGTACAAACTGTTCAGCTGGAGGAGGTTGATTCGGTAGCTTCAAACTAATGTATTCAAATGCTCTTCATTTACTATAGAGATTTAGGCTCCAATAAGGTCTGTGTGCTTTGAAGTTGTGTCATTTGTGTCCTGCTTTGGGTAACTAAATTGGAAAGAAATTCAATAATTTTTTTAAGACAAATTTGAAGATTTAGGAAGCTCATGAGATAATAATCAAAATTACTTTTTTTGTGCTTCAATGACATCTTCTTTTGAGGACGATTCTTCATTTCTGTATTAAGAAATTGGTGAGTTGCATGTGGTTTGTAATTTTGTTTTACTTTCTCTTGATGCAAAATTTGTTCCCCTTGAACTCTCTTCTACTTCTTTATTCTTTTCTTTTGTCTATAAGTCACCCAATCCAAACGGACTACAAGACATAAGATCATACTCAAATTATAAAAAAAAACACTTGATAGTAAAAACTAATGGCAATTCAACATTTAATCTATTCAACTAATGAAAAAACTCAGTCTCTTTTTTCCTGATAAGCGGAAAAATTGACTTGTATACCTGACTTAAGATTACAACACCACTAGAAAAAAAACTATGACAGCGGAATTTATTTCTCAACATGAAATCTTCCTTCAACTCAAATTCTCTAAACAATTCTTTCTAGTAGAACTTGAGAGTAGCAATTTTGTGAAGAAAACAATTTTTATGTAGCTATTTTTACCATCTGAGTAAACCTTTTTTTTTAATAAAAAATAAATAAAAAGGAATGAGGAGGGAGGGGGAGCCCTTTAACATAAGAGAATAAACTAAGCAATAGACCGACACTTAATTCTAACTTTTAAGTTTGATCAAATAAAGATAAGCCATAAAAAAATTAGAAATAACCTAACCACAAAATAAAGTTAATGAGAAAGGTAAAGCATTCTACTGTAAATTATTACTTAAAAAGATCTCAGTAAGTTGCCAAGAGCAATAACTGAAAATCAATTTTAATGTAGTGAGGGATCTTTTTTATTCCTTTGGTTCTTCTAAATAACAAGTCAACTGGTTAGTTGCAAAGGATCAGGCGATATAAACAAAGCTTATAGTACAATTTACACCTAATGGGTATTATAGTCATATCCCGTAAAACGAAAATATAATGAATGCGTATTATACAAAAATTCAAAATCTGTTATAGGAATTGTAATTTTGATCAATTTGGTATGGTTAATGTGCAAGGTTCAAATATACGGTCCAATCACAGATGCTTGTTGCTGAAGAACTAGATAATTCAATTTTCAATAATCCCGTTCTAAAGTTTTTCAATGTTAGGTTTTCCATTTCACTTTTACCGTGCAAAGCTGTGTTATAACTCTTGTGCAACAAGATAATGCTAACAGCTAAGGTGAGTAACATGGCTTCAAAATAGCAAGCATCACAGTGTAAATTCTAAATGCCCTTAAATGTTTGTAAGCCTTATAAATATGAGGTTTAATAGAAAATTGAGTAATATGTCAAATGTTTATTACATAAAGGTCCTTAATGTCAAATAAGCTAGTTTTTCAATGTTAGGTTTTCCATTTCACTTTTACCGTGCAAAGCTGTGTTATAACTCTTGTGCAACAAGATAATGCTAACAGCTAAGGTGAGTAACATGGCTTCAAAATAGCAAGCATCACAGTGTAAATTCTAAATGCCCTTAAATGTTTGTAAGCCTTGTAAATATGAGGTTTAATAGAAAATTGAGTAATATGTCAAATGTTTATTACATAAAGGTCCTTAGGCCTCGTTTGGCAAGAGGCTATTTTAGTCAATTAGTCAAAAAGTTACTAAATTAGCCAAAAAGCCAACAACCCATACCAAAAAGTCAAAGATTCTCTTTTCTCTTTACTTTTTTGCACATCTTTTCGTAATTAGCCAAAAAGTCATTCCAAACATACAAATTTTTTTTACCTACCTTTTTAGTCAAATAGCCAAAAAGTTATTAAATTAGCATGTTCCCAAACGAGGCCTTAATGTCAAATAAGCTGATTTTCAAGAAAATCTAAGGAGAACAAAAGTAATAGATATTTGATTTGCCGCATTAGTCACCTTACCTGAGTGCAACTTCTTGGCGGACATTATATCTAATTTTCTTATCAAAGCATCGTTCTTTTCTCTTTTGTCGGAACCTACTTAGGGAGGCAGCTCTCTGTGGCAGACTACATCTTACAGGATACTCCATCGATTCCTGGGGATAAAAACATTCAGATCCTCAAAAAGAAACAGTTATAAGAACCACAAAAAGGAACTTTAATGGATAAGAAAATACCCTCTGATTCTCATACGGTAATTCTCCGCCTTGCATGGTAGAAGAAAGTTCAGATGCCCCCAAAAGCAATAACACTGCCTGAACCTGTGATAATATGTCAAATACGAAACTTTAAAACCAAAGCCTTAGATTACATATGTGCGTTAACACTTTCTTCGGTTGCCAACAAATCAAGGAACAGAAGGGTGACAAAAATCTTTAATTTTGCTTTTCTTAGAGCATCTCCAATCCTTCACCTTTTCTTTCATAAAATTTAAATTTGATAAAAAAAAGTGCTCAAAAATCATCTTCAACCCTTTCGTCTTTTTTTATCAAATTGAGAACTCATTCAATCCATCATCAAATTTAAATAGCTGAAGCATTGGAGATTTTTTTATTTTTTTTTCTCATCAAATTTGATGAAAAAGGAAATTGGGGGATAAGAGAGGAATTTTTAAAAAGATTTTGATGAAAATTTAATGAAATGATTGGAATAATTCATATCACGTCAAGCTTTTTACTCAAATTTGAAATCAAATTACATGAAAAAAATTGGTGAATAGTTAGAAATGCTCCTATTGGTTTCATTTCCACTACATGAAAGCCCAATTCAACTATATCAAGCTCGGGTAATGCTAGACAAACAAAATTTGTATACACAAATTTCATACAAAATGACAAAACTCATTCATTGGAACTCAAATAACCAATCAATATATTTCATAATTATAAAAATGTCATTGTCATATCATTCCGTACAAGTTTTGTGCATAAAAATTCAGTATATTTAGCATTTCCATAAAACTCAGAGCATACTTTTTACCGGTTTCAAATTATGCAACATGTTCAAAACTCTCTTTCTTTCCAAAAAAAATTTCACTAAAAGACAAAGTTTTTGTCTCTACTCTACAATACCTAAAACCCTTATAAAACATAAATCAAACACATTGCCAAGAAAAATTAGATACATTTTCCAGCCTTCACATTCGCATTGCCCCATTTTCTCACGAACCAAACAACTTCAAATCACAAATACAAAGAAAAACCCTAATTTAGCAAACTAATCATAGAAGAACCTGACCTTATCAGTGGTAACATCGTCGAACACAAAGACCTGGCCGCGGAAGGAGAGCGTGAGCTGGTTGGAACAGTCGGTACGTTGCAAAGGCAAATCGGAGGCTCCGTCGGCATAGACAACGTCGGAGGGCACGATGTGGACGTCGTCAATGCCGACACCGTCGTTGAGAGAGTGAGTTTCGTAGGAAACGTGTGGATTGTCGGCGGCGGACTCTCCTCCTCCGCCGCCGGCGCAGGGTGAGGGGTCTTGGTCGGCGGTGGTGAAGTGGTTGGGAACGTTTAGGGATTGAGAGTGAGCGTACATTGTTGGGTTTGGGTGCTCTGAGATCGATTCAATGGCGGTGTCCTTTGAAGCATCACAAAACAAGAATCAAATTCTCTCAACAAACCCTAATCTCGGAGTTTTTTAAAGTTGAAAACTTGTGAATGAATGAGTTGAACATACACTTGTATATGTATATGTATATATATACGAATACGTATAGGTATATGTATATGTGTATTATTCTGGAAGACACTGGTGAGGGGTGGTGGTGGTGGTGGTGGTGTTGGGATTGTGGACTTGGAGGACTTGTGTTTTTGAGAGAGGAGAGAGAGAGAATGTGAAGGACAGCAACAGAGCGGGGTTGTGGCGTGTGTGAGAGAGAGAAGAGAGTGACCTTGGCTAGTAGCGATATTTACGAGGTGTGCCACTTTGTGGTTGGGTTGGCAAGACCATCTCCCACGGTCATTAAAATTGATATCAAATTTAAAATTTGATAAAAAAGTTATTGTTTAGTGTTCTAATGGTTACACCAAATCGATATCAAATTGAAATTTCAACAAATGATTCATCAAACTGAAGACAGAATACATATTTTATCAAAACATTGTGTGTGACCGTTGAAACAGAAAAGCTTCAGAATTTTACACATGGGTCAACCACTTGGATGACCACCATTGGTTGACCCGGTCGACCAGTGCATGCGAACTTGGCCTGGTTCAAACAGTTCAAAAAGATAAAAAATAAATAAAAATTGGCTTTATCGGTCGACCAACCGGTTGACCCACGGAAGTAGGTTCAAACAGTTTAAAAAGGTTTTAAAAAAAAAAAAATTTCCTCCTAACTAGCCGACCATCCAGTTGTCCTGAAGGAGATTTGATGAAGGTGAACCGTTGGCATTCAGTATCAAATTGAGGAAATGACCATTTTTTTACTCAGATTTGGTGAAACATTAGGTGAACAGTTGGAGATGCTCAAGGGATGTTTTTTTTTTTTGGTATTTTAGTAAAAAAAAAAAGAAGATAAAATATATTAAAATATTAATAAAATAAAATAAAATATCACATTTAAATCATAATTATTTTATTTTTTCTCTCATAAAAATTAAAAAAATCATCATAAACGAGATTTTTTAACCTTAGACTAAGGGTGATTTGAGATATTCTAAATAAGTACACTTTTTGAGTTTTTATAAAATAAAATATATAAAAAAATAGAGAAAGTAGTTAGAAAAGTAGATGTTAATATATGTTAATTGATGTGACTTAAATAAGTATATATATACAAAAAAAAAAAAAAAAAAGAGAACACATTTTTAGGTTAACTCAAACAAAAACTAAAATTCCGTTCAAAAAAAAAAAACACAAACACTAAAATAATTAAAAATTCAAAAAATCATCCTCATTCTAACAAAGGCTAAGATCCATTTGCTTATTTGATCTATTTACTTTTTAAATTATGCATGTAAGTTTTTTATTTAAAATAAATTAAATTGATTTGATAATTGTAGTTACGTTAGTTTATTATGGCGGTGTTTGGTAACAATTTTTTTTGGGTTTTTTTTTTAATTTTTTTCACTAAAAGACAAAGATTTTGTAAAATAAAAAAAACAAATCTAAACAAAATATCACATCAAACCCCATAATCATTTCATTTTTCTTTCACAAACATCACATCAATCACAAAAAAACCCAACTATCTTCCTAAGCACAAAAAAAAAATTTCAATTATATCCTACAACTAAAAAAACCTATATAAAAACTCACTTCTCAAACACCCACTATATTTATTTTTTTAAAAAATGTATAATAATTTAATTTTTAAATAATATTTATTGTTTATTTTCCTGTAAATATCATAAAATAAACACAGATACGTTATCAAATCGATTAACTCGGTAATTGGACTCAGTAGTTGGTACACAAGGCAAACATCTCATGTTTTTTGTGCTATGATTCCTGCGGTGAATTCTTTAGAGAAAGTAGCAATTCAATGAAAAATTGAAAAGGAAATTATAAATCAGTGGTAAATTCCATAAACATTAATAATTAAAATTCAAGACTTTTTCCATGTATTTATAAACATTTTTTCAAAAGTGCACTAGACTATAATTCTTTTAATTTTTTACCGTGTTCCAAGTAAGACCTAGTTTGGAAAGACTAAATAAGTGCATTTTTTTACTTTTTTTGTATTATGTGTAAAAAAAGTAGAGAGGAGATGTTGATTGATGTGACCCAAAAAAGATAAAAAGATGAAATAAGTGCACTTTTTTCTTTGTAGCCAAACTTGGCCTAAATATAGAAAAAATATTTGACAATACATAAGTAGGGGTGATAAACAAATTAAATAGTTCGAACTTGACTCATGTATTGTTCGTTAGAAGTTTGTTTGAATTCAGTTTGTTAAGTAAAAAAGTCAAAATTAACTCACACAATTACAATCCTCATTCCTCTTACGTCAACCTAACTTGATCGTCTAAATGCTCACCCAACGGCACAACCCCACCAGACTTCGTTGTTTTTGTATTATGCAAGAAAGATTAACCATCCAATTGACATCAAGCTCTAAGAGAAAACAGGAGCATATTTTCCGCCCCACTACAATAATTATAGCTTATGAATGATTACATATGATGTATATTATATAGAGGTAGGTCCAAAAAAAACCTTCTTAAAGAGATTTCTCATAAAGAAAAAATAAATAAAAATTGAGAAGACAACGTCACCGTTTTCAAGTTAATATTATTTCAAATTCAAAAATATTAAAAATTATTTTTATTAGATTAAAAAAAATAGTTAATTTTACACCTTCCATGCTTGTTTTCTTTATGACCATTCTGAAAATCCCTTTATAGTTATGGTCCCAACAAAATCCATTTGTGGAACAAGGAAAAAATATGCTAATTTAAATAATTGAATTGATGGTATAAATTAGCTTAGCAGCAATTAATGATATTCTAAAAATGTCTATGGTCCTCAATAATGTCCTTTCATGTCAGTATCAAAGAAGGATTAATGCTTCTAAATATAGCCCTGTTAGTAAAATTCCGATTTGGGGCAGATTGACAAGTATCTATCGATAGAACTAAATAATTTCACAAAACTAAAGTGCAAGATCAAACAATGTGGTTGAATTTTATACTTTGACAGGTTCAATGACTTTTTTGAAGTGAATTGATAGACAGAAACAAGCACAAATTGAAATTGAATTAAAGATAAATTGAACTTGTCACTAAATTACAAGAAGCAGAAATAAGAACAAGAGAAAAAAATTACAAACTATGTACTATGCTTACAAAGAAACTACTGCTAAAGAAATAACTGCTACTCCTAATTTCACAAAGTATGGTAAATGAGCTTGATACAGCCACATGATGGCAGTTTCATACAGCCACATTCTTCTCAATGAGTAGTTCACACATTGTTCTCAGTATATGCCCATGTTGCCACTTCTCTCTCCATTTGTTATGGCCCACTTGATGCTTTTGTAAGCAACATGTAAGAGTCTGCATAAACATAACTATAATAATAATAAATATGAAAATGGCCATAATTACTTTTTAAAGATAGTTTACTGATTGAATCAGCAGATTATAATTGATAGGTCAAATTTAACAAGATTAGATTTAGTCATGATTAACAAGTTACAATCGATAGGGCTGGCCTTGCCATGAGACTAGGCAAGCCCAAGCTTTAGGCCCCCAAATTTAGGAAGGCCCAATTTTTTGATATAATGTAATAGGTCCGTCTGACTCATTATTTATTTTTTTAAAATAAAATGGTCCAAAACAAAACAGTCCAAACTTTATCAGACACGCACACAAAAAAAATAAAAAATAAATAAGCAACGTTACAGATTTTTTATTTATTTATTTATTTTTTAAGATGAGATGGCATTTTAAGATGAGATGGCAACAGTTGAATTATAATGGGAGTGAATTAATTTTTCCTTGATTGTAAAGATATCTCTATCTATATTTTGATGAAAAATGTTTGGTACCTCAAAATTTTACAGTTCAAATTGCTCAAATCTGTCAAAACGACGTCGTTTTACACTCATTTACATTCAAAACGACGTCGTTTTATACTCATTTACACTCAAAACGACGTCGTTTTATACTCATTTACACTCAAAACGACGTCGTTTTGAGTGATTTGAGCCATTTGAGTCACAAAATTTTGAACTACCTAGCATTGTTGTATTTTGATTGACTTTCTCTCTCTTTCTCTCTCCTATATTCGGCTCTCTTCTCTCTCTCTCTATTAGAAAAAAATCTCTCTCTGCACTACTCTTCAAGACTTGATTCATCATTAACAATTATGTTATTCTTGATTCACTATTTGCACTATTCTATGATTCACTATCTGCGCTATTCTTCAAGGCTTGATTCATCATCGACAAGGCTTGATTCATTATCAAGTTCTATTGTTCTACCCTTACAAGAAAGATTAAGTGATTAGCCATATTATCAATTGAAAAAGACCTGTTAGCAAAAACTTTAATATAAAGATTTTAATTAATATTTTTGCATCTCAAAAAGTTAGAAAAATAAATTTTATAAAAATATTTTATTTAAAAAAATTATTACATAAAAGGCTTCATTTTTAATTATTGCTTTTAGACCACAAATTATCTAGAACTGACCCTGACAATCATAGTAAATATTTATGGTGCAAACATCCTCTCTTTTTCTTTTCTTTTTTTCCCCTCTCAACGATCGCTAATTAATGTTAATATTTATTAAAATTTATTCCTAAACAAAATCTATAACACTATTGTGGGAGATTAAAAAAAAAAAACCAAAGGGCCCAAGGCGACTTAGGTCCAAACAGACCCAAAAGGAGAGGGGTCCGTCCAATACTTGAGAGTGGAGCTCATTTGGCTGTAGAAAACCAAAAGGAGCTAATCACCATGATTGACCTAGATTAGCACAATCTGATCGATCTATACAAAGTGACCTCTAACAAAGGGCTTATACATCCGATAGAAAAACAAGTATCCAATGGCCAATAGCGAGTGCAAGTTGACTACCAATAGAATGACCTCTGATAGGATTGTAGGAAAAATAAATTTAATACAAATCAATAATTAAATAAGATAGAAGAAATTCCTTACAAAAATTATGTAAAACTTAATACAGATTGTAACCGATATTAGTGTTTGAACACTATGTCTTTAAGACAGAAATTTGCCCTCACCTCTGGTACTTGCAATTGATGGGTGTCCTACCTCCAATATACAACGATCACCATACACAGAAATTGCATAATTTTCTGTATGTACAATGAACTAATTTATGTTATACACTCTCTCTTCTATATTTGACTATGACATATATGTGAATCTTAACAAGCA